CCCCACCTCACCGGCTCCCACGGGTGCCCACTAAGACGCAGCACCCCAAGTTTCCCTGCCCCACCGGATGCTTGCAGGATAGGATGGGAATCCAGGGTACCTGTGCAACACCTGTCATGACAAAGGTTTTTCACCCTTGAGCAGATTATCAGCTGAGAGCTGTCGTCAATATTGATTATGTGTTTTCAAACTGGTTCTATTGTTTCCACATGTCCAGTTTTTTTTTTAGTACTGTATATGCTTTAAAAGGGTTAAGGCCAAATATAACACTTTCAGTACATTTATCTAGCAAAAAGAAAATAAAAACAACAAGACAAACATATTGTGGCACCTTAAAGACTAACTATTATATTTTAATGTAAGCTTTCATGGAGCTTCCTAGCCCACTTCCTCAGAAACATGAGATGGAAAACAGAGATTAACACTATGAAACATTCATGCTGGACTCTTTTTAAGAGTCAATAGTGTCTGGTTGCATTTCACACGTGCCATAATTTATGACTTCTGTTTGGTATTCAGTTCTGTAAACATTCCAGCAAGAGATACAAAACCAGACAAAAGGAATGAGAGAGAGAGAGAGAGAAATACAGTAACTTTAAAGACCAGCTGTAAGCAATGATAAGATTAAAAGAAACAACAGGAACAATGTGTGTTAATATAGAGAAGGACAGGCTATACCATTGAGCCTTGTTCTGAAAGATGGATCTGGCCGTTGTGAAGGAAAATAGCGCTAGATAACAGCATAATTACCGTATTACATTTGGTCATGGTTGAAGAAACCTTAACTGATATTCAATCCATTTATATGAGTGTCCATCGTGTGAATACATTTTATCTCAGCTGTTCTCTTCTCTATTGTTGTTTTGTAGCGTTTCTTTTCCAGTATAGCAACTTTCATATCCTTTGAAGAGTCCTGGTAGATTGAAGTGGTTTGAGAGATGTTTCTATGTATTGCAGTTTCTGATGCCTGATTCATGTCCATTAATTCTTTTGTGTAGAGATGTTCTTGTGTGTCGTATGTAGAGTGCAGAGGGGCATTGTTGACAGGAGATGGGATAGATCACTGTAGTTGTATCCAGAGGTGTGTTTCTTATTGCACAAGAAGGATGATGATGTCTGTCAGAAGGCTTTGAGACAGAAGGCTCCAATCCCTGCAAAATCGTGACTGTACTTTTGCAAGCTTCCATTGCCAGATCATTCAGATTTCAGGAGGACTGCCATATTTGTTGTTTGTGCATGTCACTGTATTTTGTTACATGATGTAACCAAGTGAGCAGTCTTTTCTCATTCAATATTATGGTTATTTTTATTGCGTTTTAACACGTTAATATTTTGCACTCCTTTGTATCTGTCTTTAATCTATTTTTATTGGTATTTGTTTTAGTGCTACTGTGAGCCTCCTAGTTCTGAGAGCAAGGAGAAAATTAATAAACAAATAAACACGATAGAAATCATAGCTCAGCAAAAGGAGGGCCAGAGTTTGTTCAGTTCTGCTCAAGAAAATATGGCCAGATATTATGGGTTTTTGCTCCACTGGTGAATGTGGTATTTTCCTTGGCATTTTTACTGATTTCACCTCTAATACTTGGTAATCTACTTTTTAAAAAGTATCAAGGATGTCTTTGAGTTATAACTATATCACTTAATTCCTTGGTGAGGTGCTGCTTTGCTGTTGTGAGAGCCATATCAGAAACGCTTCACATCCCCAAAAGCTTGCCTATTTATTGTTGGAAATGATTAACTTCTGGAAAGGTCCACACAGTGAAGAAATGGGAAATTACAGTTTGTGAGTGCATGAGAGTAATGTCCTTTTTGGAACTGCTTTGTGTGTGGGGAAATATTTTCATATGACAGGGGCCTGTGACCCAGAAAGTAGAAAACCTCTTGGGAGCCATTTCCATTTCTGCTTACAATTCCGCCACAGGTTTTTCTCTGCTATACTCAGCTAGGCTGAGGCAGTTTTGCTGTATGAGGCAAAGAACAAGATGGCGGCCTTTCCCCTTGTCTTCAGTGCAAAAGCCAACTTTTGTGGCAATGGGAGGGTGTCCTCCCAACACTGAAGGGCAGGAGATTAGCTGAAGGGACCACATAAGTTTTTGTGGCATAAGATACCTCTTCTCTTGTAAATGGCCAAACTAGCCACTGCTACTTTCCACCACTTGATGCACAAGGCAGTTGCCTGACTTTTTGCCTATTGGTAGGGATGGGTCTGCACCGTGTGCCAGAGAGCAGCCAGAAGCACAGTGTTGGAATATAGCCCTGAGCCTGTGATTTGCTTTCAGATTCTTTCTAGGAGCACCAAAACTCCCCGTTCATGTGATGAGGTTGCAGCAGTAGCTCTGTGAAATAACATGGAGCCAGTTAACCTGGAGCGCACTATTGCGGTGGGAAGAATCTGTGGCTGAGATGAGAAAAGTTACATTTTTAGATTGCAGTTCCCGTAATCTAACATCCAGCATGACAGATGCTGAGATTTGTAATTCAAAACAATTACAGTGGTGCCTCGCGTAACGGGCGCCCCGTTTAATGACGAATCCGCATAGCGATTAAGTTTTTGCGATCACTTTTGCAATGTTTCTAATGGGAAAAAATCACTTTGCGATGATCGGTAAGCTATTTCGCTTACCGATTTTCGCATAACGATGTTTTCCCAACAGCTGATTGGTGGTTTCAAAATGGCCGCCCGCTGTGTTTTTGCCCGAATTCCTCGCTTACCGGGTAGCGAAAATGGCAGCCGTATGGAGGATTTTCGCATAAAGGTGAGTTTTTTGCCCATAGGAACGCATTAACTGGGTTTTAATGCATTCCTATGGGCTTTTTTATTTCGCATAGCGACGAATCCGTATAGCGACGATTTTGGCTGCACGGATTATGATTTTCTGCAGCTCTTGCTCATTGCCCTCCTATGGTGTTGAACTGCTAGTCCAGCCTTTGTGGGAGTTGCAGGCAGTGGGACTTGTAGTCTAAAGACCTCAGGATGTTCCCAGCTGGGTGGATTCAAAAATGGCAAGCTCTGAGCTGGGTTTCTAGGATAAGCCATGGTGGTCTATCTGGGTATGTCGTCCTAGTTAAAGACAAAGGTGTGTAGTGCCCAAAGAAAAGGGCAAAGTTACTTCTTCAGATTTGATCCAGAAAGGCTCGCAATGAAATAAATCAGTTAATCTTTAAAGTGCCACCTTCCCACCTTTCCTCTTTAATTTTGACATTTGCAAACTGTCTTTGTTTAACCTGTTGTTTTGCTACCTGGTTGTTCAGCGAGTGTTTCCCCCTAGATCAACTTTGTTGGATAGCCTGGTGGCCTGAGGCTCTTTACTTTTAGCGCAGCCAGTTTGCTAAAGAAGAAAAAGAAACACGATTATAGGAGTGACCCTTCCAGAGGTGGTGGGGGGAATGAAATGTACCAAACTTTCTGCTGATGTAAGCCTATACTATGCTGTCCAGAGAGATCGATGCTTGCAGCTGACTCCCTGTTTCGTCAGGCATAGAGAGTCCTGTGCAGGGGGTAAACAGCTCATCCTGGAGAGGAGATAGGAATCTGTCTTTTGGCTTCCTCCACGAGGCATCCTGCTTGCAAGGATCATATGGGGCAAAGTTGAGTGGGTGTTAAATGTGTGAACTTCATGTTAGACCATCCAGTTCCAGCCAGATATACCTGATGAAACATCTCCAGGGGTGTTGCTGCGGAAAGACACCTGAATAACAGAGCGTCTCTGAGAATCTAGCAGCTTTTCCTCTAGGGCCCATGGGTTCCCAGTCAGGGGGTCATGATCTGCAAGGGGATCATGATGTGTTTTTCTGGGGAGGGGGGGTCACCACAGTTATTTTTAGTTGCAATTAATTTTGTATTTGTTATATTAAATATGGTACATACAGGGCTGCTTTATTTTAATCCTCTTGGCTTATAGATAGATCAATTTAATTTGAACTGGAATTGCAGCTAACTTAAGAGTTCCTAGTTATTTCTGTACCCCTTTGGGTGGATTTCCCTTTTATACATCCACTTGACTCGTACCCCTTCCAAAAGAGCCCCTCTCGCTCATTTCTCCCTGCTCCTCTGCATCCAGCCCTTTGGACCTGAGCATTAGCCCAGCTCAAAAGAGGCTTGAATGAGGCGAGCGCATGGTACAAGCTGGGAATGCTTAGCTCAAGATGGCGGCAGGATTGAAAAGTTGTGGCCTCTGCAGCAGTGGCAACTTTCACTCCGCCCGACTCTCCCACTCTTCCTGATATAGCAGTGGTGGCATAGGGAAGGGAGAGGGGACCTGGGTGGAGAGATGCCTCTGGGCCCTTCCTCTGGGGGAGGAAGGCAAGGGGGGCAGAAAGGTGAGGGAGGAGAACCAGGGAGAGGTGTGGGGGGCCATGGGAGAGACACTTGTTTGGACTTGTGGGAAAGGGGCTCTTTACTGAGGGCGCTTTTTCTGGAAGAGGAGACATGAAAGGGAGGTCATTTCCACACCCACAAAAAGTAAATTAAACTCAAAGTGTATTGACTCTATTTTTTCTTCTAAAATTTTATCTAGTAGAGGCAGATTTAAAGTCCTCCCATAATTACTTATTAATATTAATATATTAGGTTGGAATTATATTCGGGGGGGGAACTATTTGTATGTGTTTTCTTTACCCCATTAAAATGCTTTTTTATGCAAATATGATAGGGTCATAGATTACTCGGAGGTTATAAAAGGGAGTAATGGCTCGAAAAAGGTTAAGAACAACTGCTCTAGGCGGTGGGTTATTTATCTGTTGGGAAAGTGTGAAGGCAAGAGGAGAAGGGGATGACAGAGGACGAGATGGTTGGACAGTGTCACCGAAGTGACCAACATGAATTTGACCCAAGGGCCGTGGAAGACAGGAGGGCCTGGCGTGCTCCGGTCCATGGGGTCCCGAAGAGTCGGACATGACTTAACAACTAAACAACAACTCTTGCCTTTCAAATCCAAACAGTGATGTGCATGTGTGCCAAGGAGGAGTGTCTTATGTCCATTTGTTTTTTGTTTCAGGAGAGGGGGATAAAACTAGGACGAAGCCCAAGTTCTTTCATCCCAGTGGAAGAGGTAAGATTTACATCAATGTAGAAATTGACTTATAGTGACCCTGACAGGACTTTCAAGGTAAGTGAGATATTTAAGGAGTGGTTTTACCAGTTCCACACCCCAGTGGGTTTCTATGGCTGGGATTTGAACCCAGGCCTCTTGAGTCCTAGTCTACCATGCGATGGGCTGCACCACACTGCGTATCAGAGATAAGAAAACGGCCAGAACCCTATAAGCTGCACAAAGCTTGAAGATGGTGCTCTATCTCGTTCCTCAGTTTTCCTTTTTTTATTTTAGGACTTTCAATATTCTGTGTTTGCCGTACATGCTCAGTCCTTACTGCATGTAGATTTGCTCAGGCTTTTGTTTGCTCCCTTGTACTTGTAAAAAAATCTGAGAGTTTTGCTGAGTGCGCAGATAATCTATCATCTTCTCAGTCACCGTGTTTCAACTTCAGCCTTGCTGGCATTGCTATCAGAGAGTGTGGTCATTCAGAAATGAATGAACAAATTCAGTTTATCGCATAGCACGTAGGCCTTTGCAGATAAACTCGACCGGGTACAATATAAAATAAATTAAACTTCTAATCAAACTTGCAAGTTCTGAAAGATACAGAAATGGAATAGCTGCCTAGGATGGGAACACAACAGGAGGTCACTTCTTCACCATAAATCATAGATGACTTGACAGCATGTAGTAACAACAATGAAAACAACTAGAAGGATCCTTTTGCAACTCTTATCTCATTCTGGCTGATTTAGCAATGTAGTATTATTCATAGCTTTACCTGAGTTACAAGCTTACACTAGTCTTAACTGCCACAATGTGCCCTTCACTTAACTCTAGAGCAGGCTTGTCCAACCCGTGGCCTGAGGGCCGCATGCGGCCCAGGTCGGCTCATAATGCGGCCCAGTGCAATTTTTTATTTTTAAAGAAATTCCAAAGTTTCAAGTTACACTGCCAGCGCTTGCGGCAATGTGGCCGGGGCATGTCACAACGGTAGGGGGGGAGAGAGGGAAGGAAGGAAGGAGCAGGAGGGGAGGGGAGAGGGGTGCTGTGTGACTGCGTTGCGCCGTCCCCGTCAATAGGTGGACCCCCTCCCGGCCCCATAAAACCACCGGAGTCCAAGCTGGCAGCCTCTGCTGTCTGAGATCGCAGCTGCCGGTAAGCGCGCTTGGAGCGGGGCTGCGGAGGACGGCTAGGGCTGTCCACCCATGCGGCCCAAACCAAATTTATGTGTGGCCCAAACCAAATTTTCATCTTCTAATGTGGTCCAGGGAAGGTGAAAGGTTGGACACCCCTGATCTAGAGGCTGTGTTATTTTAAGGCAGACGTGGGCAAAGTGTGGCCCGGGGGCCACATACGGCCCGCGAGCCGCTCCTGTCCGGCCCGCAGAGAGTTTTGAACATCAAAACCATGTATAGCTTTTTGTCTAAAGTTGATCAGTTGCTTATCTTTAACATACCGCAAAAAGACTCTTTAGTATTTGTGAAGATGAACACGTTTAAAATAAAAACGATCATAACACCACTGTTTCATTTTATTTTTAATTAAAGTTGGTTCGGCCCCCGAACACACTTCAGATTTTTCATGTGGCCCCCCCTATAGAAATTAATTGCCCACCCCTGTTTTAAGGAGAACCAGAAATGCCCAAACCAACTTCTCAACCCCACCATAAAATTAAAGTTCCCAGGGAGGTGTTGCACTTAAAAATTTCTGTATGAATACTAAATAATTCTGTAGGTGAAGCAGAGCAGGACTTGCCATGTGCTGCCACATGGGAACGGTATGTTTCGGGTTTCCATTGGGCCATTTTCTGGGATATTCCTGCAAAACAATAAGTAGACAAATGCTAAAAAAGATCAAAACAGATGCCACAGTAAAAGATGGCAAACAGAAGCAACACCAAAACCGCATTCAAAGCAGCCAGGCACAAGAATCTGTTTGAGGTACAATCAAGAAATATCCGGAGAGCAGGAAAACGTCCATGGAAAACATGCTGAACGGAATTTTATTTATATATGTGTGTGCAGGTTGATTTCAATGTTCAACCCTTCCTATTATTTATTGAGAGATCGTGTTCTCAGTGTCCATCCTCATCCCGACCTCCTGTTACCCAGCAGTCCTTGAACACTGGACTGACTCTGCATGTTCAATCCTCATCAAGGTGTTCAGTGTCATCTACCCCTGTTCCGCCCCCTTTCTATAATTTTGTACTTTTGCAGACCATCAGATTTGAGTCTGCTAATACTGGGAGGTTTCATTTTGCCTGCATAAGGATTGGCACTTGGAAAATGATCTCTCAACAGATAATAGGAAGGGTTGAACCTGGCCACCCATGTATAAATAAAATTCCGTTCAGCATGTATTCCATGGACCTTTTCCTGCTTTCTGAATATTTCTTGATTGTATCTCAAAACAGATTCTTGTGCCTGACTGCTTTGAATGTGTTTTTGATGTTGATTCTGTTTGCCACCTTTTACTGTGGTATTTGTGTGGTCTTTTTTAGTATTTGTATACTTAACTGTTTTTAGCTTTAAATGTTGTCTAAATAATATAAGCTGCCTCGGGTCCTTTTAAAAGGAGAAATTTAGGGCAGAAATGTTTTAAACAAATAGTATGTGTGTTTTCAAAGCATTGCTTCATCCTCCTGCTTTAAAGGTTCCAAATGGAAGCATGCTTTTACCCAATTCTTGTACATATAATCTTGTAATTTCCAGTTTTTTTATCTGGACCTTGAAGAAGCTTTTTCTTGTCTTGTATGACAAACATAGTTCCTTCGGCCAGTCACATACACACCTCTGCCTGTGTGGCAATAGATGCAGCTGCCAGAAGATTGTAAGGCATTTCACGTGTGAATTCACCACGTCCCAGCCCCATTTTGAGGAGAAATCAAACAAGCAGTTTCCAACAAGCTTCTCCTGACATTGTTGTGGGAGGTTGTTTGTTTATTGCATCAACCAAGTCCTTGGCTTCTCCTTTTTCTCTCTCCTCTGCTTAGGTGATGGGAGTGACACATGCATTAGCATTGCCTGTTGGTGTCGTCATCTTCTTATTTATTGAATGACCTTCCCTCCCTGCTCGCACAAACAACATACTGTATCTCTCCAGGCCACGACTGCACCGTTTGCTCTCCTGCTGTGGGAGAGCTCCTTCCCGCTGGCTGCTGTTGCTGCTGCTTGCGCCCTGCAGTTTCTTTCAAGTTGGCAGCTTTCACTTCTGCTGGACTGATGCCCGCATCTCTCTCCTTTTCCAGAGCTGAGCTGTTGGCCATCTAGGGACTGGGGAGGCTCTTACCTTTTGGTGCGTTCTTGGACAGCTCTGTGGTGGCAGCTGGATGGGCAGTGTCTGCTTCCAGAAACGTTACTTGCCAGGGTTTTTGAACTCCAGGAGCAGAGAAGCCTGTGTTGTGGGACTCCTCTGTTGAGCTGAAAGGGCAGAGGAGTGGTGTCGTGGACTGGTATGAGAGAAGGAATTGTTATTGTTACTGCTATTGCTATGTTTCATTCCTACCATATTACAATTACTGTTATTTGTGGACCTTGGAACTGAACAAAAATCTAGATTGCATCAAATGAGCATACACTTCTGCAGCTGTGTCTTGAGTTTTTTGTCTTTTATTTGCTTTCTATAATATTTGCAATTTCTCTCTCATGCCCTGAAACAGGTCAACAGGTCTACTAGCTAGTAGATCTTTGGTTGATTTGCCAGTGGATGATTCCCTTGAAATGGAGAAGGCTTGAGTGGCTCTCTCTCTCTCTCTCAGCTTTCCCAGTGGGGAATTCAGGGGTTGTGAGGTATACTGGATAGAGTGGTGGACTAAGACTCGGAAGATCTGTGTTTAAATCCCATTTGGCCATTGACGCTCTCACTGGGGGATGGAATTGGTAACAGCGCTCAGGGGTTGTGAGGTATACTGGATAGAGTGGCGGACTAAGACTCAGAAGATCTGTGTTTAAATCTCATTTGGCCATTGACGCTCTCGCTGGGGGATGGAACTGGTAACAGCACTCCTTGAATATCTTATTTACTTTAAAAGCCCTATAAGGGTTGTCATGGGTTGGTTCTGATTTGGCGGCACAAAATACACACACAGAGAATCCAAAAAAAAGTATGTTTTCCAGCCTTTGGATTTTCATATTTATTTTTTCAAGTCCTGGGCTCCAGATTCTTTGCTTCTGTGGTTGTTTGAAAGATCTCATTGGTCTAGTACGAAAAACAAAGGTGACTAGCAGAGCCCTAAAATCTGCCAGGGCTTGCCCAACTGTTAGGGAAGTAAGGGAAAGGCACTTCTGTTTTCGAAGGGGACAGTAGCATTTTTTATCTCTTATCTTTCCCCAGGAGACTCAAAATATTGAAATGTGTTTGGAAGGTCTTTCTGTCTCATTCTGTCTTCCCAAACATTACTGATTCTTTTAACAAAATTTCCGCGTTCAGAATTCTTAAGGAAAAGTTATTTTAAGTTAAATGCTTGTTATACCCTCTTGCAAACTGGCACTTGGAGAAATTTCTATCCTAGATGCACCTTATATATGCCGCCATCTCTTCAATCTGGCAACCTCAAATCAAACATAAGGTCATCCAGGTTTCCTGGGCAAGCAGGAATTGATTTTATCTCTTCCCCCAATTTCACCATTTTCATTCCCTGCTTCCATCTGCAGTATAGAAAAAAAATAACAGTGGTCTATTTTGCCGGGTTGATTTTGCAAAAAGTACCAACATCATATATGTGAAGTGCTTTAGGCATTCAAAAAGTACTTTACACACCCTGACATCTTCTCTGGTATCCTTATTTGTGTTACAGATCTTACAAGAAGGAGCAGAGAGCGCCCGGCGCCACCTCTTCATTGAGGCCTTTGTTTCAACAGGCAAGGTGGATAACATTACTATGGTCATGGGGCTACATCCTGAGTACCTGACCAGCTTCTGGAAGACCCAGTACCTCCTGCTGCGGATGGATGGTCCTTTGCCTTATCACAAGCGACACTACATTGCAATCATGGTGAGTGAAGGAGAAGAAAGGGAAGATGGTTTGGCTGGTGTAGAATTCAAGATATTTTTTTGCATTTGAAAATGTTACCTGCTTTGCTGTCTCTCAGCAATTCTGATTTCCTTTATTTTCTTTAAATAAGTTCTACTTGATTTTCACTCATTCATAGCATTGCTCCCATGCTACAGTTCTCTTTTCCCTGTATTGCAGTTAATTTTTCTGGAGGTACGGCTGTTTGCCTCTGAAGCACACAAGCTAAACCCAGTTTTAATTCCAGCCAGAGCAGATTCATTGCATCGGTAGGACTTCAGCAAGTGTTGATTTATGAAGTCTTGTTGATTCAGTGGATCATTGAGTCCAAGGACTGCTTACCACGATGTTGCCCTTTTGTCCCATCTTACTTTGCTGGGTCTCCAGAGTTCAGAAAAAATTACTTTTGGGGATTATGGTTCCCAGGATCCCCCACCTGGCTGGTAGTCCCTTTTTCTCAACCATTTTACAGCGTGAGGGTGCAGAGAAGAGGAACCCATCTCAGCTGCTCAGCAAAGGCAGTTAAATGTTCATAGACTCTGAGGATTTTAGAGTCAGAAAGAAAATTACCTGAGATGTCATATGACCAACCACCATATGCAGCATCAACAGCCTCCAGTCTCTCCTTGACTTCCAGTAGAGGAGATCCCAGCCATTGGTTTTAACATTACTCTCTAGAGCAGGGGTCCCCAACCCCCGTTCTTTGGCCCAGTCTGTGGGCTTCCTAGAACTAGGCCACGGAGACGGATCTCTGCCCGGCCGCCTGCATGGTGAGCGTGTTGTGCTTGTGGAGGGGCGTGTCATACTCACTTGCATGCCCACAAAGAACACACCCCTCCGCAAGCACAACACGCCCACCTGTGAATGCAGAGGTGTCCGTGCCCCCCTGCGCACAGAGCTCGCACCCCCCCAACTGGTCTGTGGTCCCAAAAAGGTTGGGGCCTGCAGCTCTAGAGCCGAGGAAAACAATTCTGCACGCTCTAGAGCAAGCCAGGTACTCAATTTACCAACATTGGAAGGATGGAAGGCTGAGTGAACCTTGAGCCGGCTACCTCGGATTGAACCTGACTTGTGCGTGGAGTTTTGGCTGCAGTATTACAGTTTAACCACTGTGCCACGAGGCTCTCTAGATACGCAAGAACAATGACAACACTCTTTGCAGTGCAGAACTACTGATCTGGGATTTAATTATGTCAATATTGAAAAGTGAGGTCATTACCCCTTGTTATTCAGAAAACTGATGAGCGAAGATAATAACATTACTTTTTAACAATGTTGCTTCGAGCTCTGGAGAGTTCAATAAGGCAGTTTCTTCTGTATTTTCAAAAATTAGATTTTCCCTAGATTCCCATTGTGGTGGGGATAGAGTGACAGTCTAGGACTCTGGAGAACGTGGTGCAAATCTCCACTCAGCCATAGAAACTGACTGCAGGAGTGGAACTGGTAAAACCACTCCTTAAATATCTCAATTGAAGGCCCTGTTAGGGTCACTATAAGTTGTTTCTGACTTGACAACACAAAACATACACAGATGCGCCCATTATTTGAGGCGGAAAATATTCCACTTTTCCCCTGGCAAGATCCAAGCCTGTCAAAGAATTGTGTACATTTGGAACTAGTGCACTGACTGAAAATCCCTCGGAACCTGTGTAATTCTCGGGTTTCTCATGGATCGGTCGTTTTCCAAGCCTGTCAAAGAATTGTGTACATTTAGAACTACAGTACTGCACTGACTGAAAATCGTTTACTTATTTTGCTCGTTCTCAGGCTGCTGCTAGACATCAGTGTTCATACCTGGTGGGCTTCCACATGGGCGAGTTCCTGCAGGTGGGTGGTGATCCAGAGTGGCTGCGCGGCTTGCGGTATGCCCCACAGAAACTGAGGAACTTGAATGAAATCAACAAGATCCTGGCCCACCGGCCCTGGCTAATTACTAAGGAACACATTGAGGTGAGTACAAGGAATCAGGGAAAGGGAGACTGAAGTCCAGACCTTCAGCTGCACTTTCTGTTCCATAGGGTTGGGATGGAAGTAACCAGCTTGAGAGAGAAAAAAAGGGTCATTTGTTTATCATACGGAGTCCGGGTTTATGTCAGCCATGGTGTATTGCATTACCCACAAATTCCTTCACAAACCACCACAATTTCCTCATCCATTTCTGGTCTGTTTCTCTCCTGCCTCATTTATCAGCTCCTGTTTCATAGCAGAGATAGCTCAGGAGACAAACCATGGAGACACCTTGCTTCTAGGTTTAGACATAATAAAGATCCACAGTTTTAAAAAGCCAGAGTTTCTAAGTCAACAGCAAGCTGTCCTCTAGCTGTTTATAATTATTATAGCAGTTATAACTGCTATAGTTACAAGCCATAATTAAAAGTCATCATTGTTATGTGCAACTGGGTGACAAACTGTGGTTTGTTCAGATTTATTTAATTTAATTTATTTATTTGCTTGCTTGCTTGCTTGCTTGCTTGCTTGCTTGCTTACTTACTTACTTACTTACTTACTTATTATACCACCTTATTAGTGCACAATACTATTCTGGAAGGTGAACATAGTGGGATTTCAGCATGACAGTAAGCCAGCATTCATCAAACTACAACCTGGCTTATTGTTATCTGTGAACATAGCTTGTATGGTGTTATAGCTGGAACGTCTAAACTATTTCTACTTTAGACATGGGTAGTTCTCTTCAGCACATGGAATTAAAGTGGACTTTTGCTTTGTTTTGTTCTGCTTTTTTCAAGGCGCTTCTGAAAACAGGGGAAAACAGCTGGTCTCTGGCAGAACTCATCCAGGCTTTGGTGCTCTTGACACACTACCATTCTCTGGCCTCCTTTGTATTCGGCTGTGGGATCAATCTGGAGATTGACCAAGATGGAGGCCATGCTTTCCAGCCACCTTCACCGTGCAGTTGTGACAGCAGCCCAGGCTCTGACGATGGGACGAACAGCTCCAGTGTAAGTTGAGGGGAGATGTCCATTTTTGCTCGCTAGGCGTTTGAGAGCTTTAAAAGCCCAGGGAAAGATAGAGGTCCCAGGGCACAGTGAATGTTCCTGATGAAAGACCAGTTTCATCTGGAACGTTTGGATAACAATTAACCTTTTAGATTTCTATACATTTTCTTCCATTTTTTGCCTCCCTGCTTTTCTTTCTTCATGGTAGATGGCATTGCGGGATAATTCTTGAAGAATGTAGGGTATCATGGAGGAATCTTTACAGTCGTAGGAGAGCAGTGCAGAATCCGTGCAGTCGTAGAATTGCAGGGCAGCCGTGATCCAGCTATGCATGAAGAAAAGCGAGACTCTGGGTGGGCATGGGCTGGGTTAACTTAAACTAACCCTGTCCCATCCTTCTCAGAGCGCAGATGCCATGGAGGAGGTAGAGGTCCTGATGGAGAGAATGAAGCTGCTTCAAGAATACCAGCTGGAAGAGGAAGGAGTCACCCAAGAGGAGATGGAGACTCATTTTGAGATGGAAAAGCGAGAGAGCCTACTTGTTACTCCCTCAGGTAAGCAAGGGATTGGCTGGGAGAAGGCCATGCTGCAAGCAGAGCATTTCCTAGAAGTTTGGAAAGGGCTTGGAGAAAACACGGGATATTCAACATCTTTTATTGACGATGGCAGACCTGTTGTATTTTCAGACTTTGGCCCTCTAGACTTCACACCGTCAAGTGAAGTCCCAGCCAGCATGGGCAGAGGTCAATGATTCTGGGAGATGAAGTCTGAATCATGTGAAGAGCCAAAAGTTAAAAACCAGGGCATATGTATCGCACAGTTCACTTGGGCTCCAAATCACGTTGACCTTTTTCCGCATCACATGAAACCAGATTGTAGGCACATCAGGACTCAACTCCACGCTCTCCAGAATTGCTGGATTGTGTCTTATATTATCGTCCCAGACCGCTTGTCCCATATTGCTGGAGGCCACCAGGTTGGTAAAGGCCTGTGCCACTAGTGAGCACGTGAGCTGCCTTGTGGCTCCACCAGAGCCTCTCAGAAATATTTAAAGACCAAAAATGGCCTATGTTGCCCTCCAGCAAGGTGCCAGGAGCAATCCTTTTCTCTGCCATGGGAGGTCCCTCAAGACTTTGTCTGGGCACACACTGGAACCACCTCTCTAGACCCTCCCTGATGATTTCCCCCCCCCTTCTAAAATGGCTTTTTGTGAGCTTGATTTGTGCCTCCTCAAGCGTTCAGGTCATGCATCCTGTGATATACACAATAAAAATAAGTGGGATTGTTTATGTTCTGGTAGAGCAAGTGGAAATTTGGTAAGGGGTTTCATATAAGATCTTTTCTCTTCTGGACAAATAGTTTAGCTGTCTTCTCTAGTTTAATAAAGTATTTCCTGCAGAGGAAGATAAGAATGATTAAAACCTGACTGTTTCCACAAGTCTTGCATGGGCTTGCCCCAAACTAATTTTGTCTCAAGTAATTGGGTTTTTTTTCTTTTTTCTCTTGTGCCTTTAAACTTGCTGTTGCCTGCCACCTACTCTATTTATACATATATATCTATTTCTCTTAGTCTTGTTTTTCTGGTATTAGTGTTCCTAATTTTAGAGATTATGTTTTTGTATGGCATCTTATGTCAATTTTTTATTAGTCTTATATGTATATATTATGTGGCTTGTATGTAGTCCAGAGCAGTAGCCTTGCCAGTAGTTGGGAGGGATAAAAATGATTGATTGGTTGGTTGGTTGGTTGGTTGGTTGGTTGGTTGGTTGGTTGGTTGGTTGGTTGGTTGGTTGGTTGGTTGGTTGATTGATTGATTGATTGATTGATTGATTGATTGATTGATTGATTGATTGATGGTGGAAAGCCAGTTTTCAGTGGAAATATGGAAACATTAAGCATATTTTCCCATTTTTAACAGATGTGGTTGAACACTCCCTACCTCCCAACGTGCTGTGTTTTGTAGAGGATCCAGAGTTTGGATACAAGGATTTCACTAGGAGAGGAGAACAGACACCTCCAACGTTTCGAGCCCAGGTACCTCTTCTGTGTTCATTTAAGATATATTCATTGCACACATATATGTGGCCCCTAGGGACCTCCTCCAAATCTGAATTTTAGGCTGACAATCTTGCAGTTCTCTTTGCTTTTTTGAGCAGAGGAGTTATATGTTAATCACTGTTTTGTGTAGATGTGTACTGCTGTTTCTGCTATAAACGGACTTATCAAAGTCAGAATTACTTGCAAAAATGGTGTATAGAAATACTAGATTTGTGACCTATAAAAGATGCACAGTAGATTTTCTTTACAAATGTGGACATATTGGAAGGCACATATCTTGCCTGATGGTCCCTTTGAGATGGGCATAGTTTAAATAAAATATATATTGGCATGGTAGATACTCTTTAAAAAACAAACCCAAAACTCTGCTTAGGTAGATGAGTTGAGTCCTTTCAGTCCAACTGACAGGTACCAATAGGTCTAGTTCTCCCTCATTCTGATCTGCTGTCTTTATTAGAGCTGATGAGGACTGAGGTCCAGCACAACTGTACCACTGAAACAAGTCCATTCTTTCTAGGACTATACCTGGGAAGACCACGGATACTCTCTTATCAACCGCTTGTATCCTGATGTGGGCCAGTTGCTGGATGAGAAATTCCAGGTGGTGTACAACCTAACGTACAATACCATTGCTATGCATAGTGGAGTGGACACGTCCATGCTTCGGAGAGCAATTTGGAATTACGTTCATTGTGTCTTCGGAATTCGGTAGGTCAATTATCCACCAATCAGTATGTTATGCCCGTCAAGGCAGACCCTCATAGTGTGCTGTTCTATTGGAATTACATTGGTATTTTTCTCTCTCTCTTTTTTTGCCAGTTAACTGCTGTGATGTCACTCTTTTCTAAATTGTTGTTGTTGGGCGGGGGGTTTGCTTCCTCCTAAATCTCATTTTTGTTTTATTTTGTTGCTTCTCCAGAATCACAGATTTTCAGTAAACTACACCAGGCTTTTTTCTTTATGAATTAGCTTCTGTCTTCTGATTTCTAGACCTTTACTTAACTATATCATTCTTTCTCAGAAATCAGGACACTAGGGGTTATCCATGTATTGTGCCAAGCTATGATTTGAGGCCATGGGGGATGAGGCTTATACTTGCCTAGGTCTCCTTCGGTGGCAAAAACTCCTTAATTAGTTGCTTCCTGGTTGGCAATAAGCCTAGTTTGGTGGTAATGGCTAAGTTGCGGTTTGCATGTGAACTGGGAGCAACTATAAACCATGATTTACCGTATTTTTCGCACCATAAGACGCACTTTTTTCCTACAAAACGGGGGTGGAAAGTCTGTACGTCTTATGGAGCGAAGAAAACAGATTATATTTTCCTGTTTTCTTCTCCTAAAAATTGGTGTGTCTTATGGAAAGGTGCGTCATATGGAGTGAAAAATACGGTACATCAAACCAGCAAACAGCACATGTAAGGAGAGGAGAGAGAAGGTGCTTTCAGAACCCAATTGTGTGATGCTAGAGTTTGGGAATGAATTGATTTATGAAGAACCATTGTCCAGCTGTTGGCGTTGATTATAGAATTTGGCTTGTGTTGAGTCCTGTTGTGTAGTGTTCTTTTGGGAGGTGGCAAGATTTTTTGGGGTGAGTGTCCTTTCCACGTGGATAGCCTTGCATGTAACTGGTCAAACTTAGGTGACTCAAGGCTGACTCATTCAATTGATAGAGAGGTAAAATGTTTGGCATGCTCAACACGTGGGAGGACTTCTCCAGTCACTGCCTCTGTTAGGGTTGTTGTGTGAACAGAAGGATTTGCTTGAAGAGGAATGGTGTCGTGGTTCTAAAATAGCTGTTTCTCCTAGGAAGGGTCATGGCTTAGTGACAGGATATGTCCACTGAACCCAGAAGTATACATGTTCCATTCTGGCATCTCCATTTCAAAGGTCTTCAGCCATTGTGTCAGAAAAGGTCTCCTCAGCTCACAAGTCTCCTCAGCTCACAGGTTTTGGACTGTAGCTCCTTCCATCACTTGCTGTTGGCCATGGGGGGTGTGGTCAGCCTGATGAGAGTTGTAGTCCAAAGTATGTCCACCCTGCCTTAGTCTGTTGTGCCCATCAGATTGGACAGGGCTGCTGCCTTCCCCAAATAGATGCCCTTCAGATGTTCAGGAATGCAACTCCAATGACTGGCCTAGCTAGCATGGCCAGTAAGCAGGCAGAATTGCAATGGTAATCCCAAGCAACGGGAGGGCACCAAACTGGGAAATGGTAGCTTCCTGGTTTAGAGGTCTGACCCTTAAATATGTTTGTTTCTGAACCATTTCCAGGTATGATGACTATGATTACAGAGAGGTGAACCAGCTTTTGGAGCGGAGTTTGAAAATCTACATCAAGACCGTGGCCTGCTACCCAGAGAAGACCACCAAGAGAATGTACACCCACTTCTGGAAACACTTCAAACATTCTGAGAAGGTAAAGCATGCACACTTGTATTAATTGGTCAAGGAGTTCCTCTTAAAGTTTGGAAAATTGACCTCTTCAAACTGCAACTTTCAGTGGTCATGCTGGCGAAGGACTTCTGTTAGAATTGTAATCCTACTTGAAATTTGCAACGCGCTGGCTTTCCCCCTCCCTCCTTCTGGTACCTTGATGGCTGCTTGAGTGGGATTTGAGCACATTAGGCCTTCCAGGTTGTGGTCCTCCAAAGACCGATGGATTCCAGCTCTCATCAAACTTTTGCCATAAGCTATGCTGGCATGGGACATGATGGCACTGCAGGTTAAACCACAGAAGCCTCTGGGCTGCAAGGTCAGAAGACCAGCCATTGTAAGATCGAATCCACGCAATGGAGTGAGCTCCCGTCGCTTGTCCCAGCTCCTGCCAACCTAGCGGTTCAAAAGCATGTAAATGCAAGTAGATAAATAGGTACTACCACGGTGGGAAGATAACGGCGGTCCAGAGGTACCACCACGGTGGGAAGATAATGGCAGTCTAGGTCTAGTCACGCTGGCCACGTGACCACGGAAACTGTCTACAGACAAACGCTGGCTCTACGCCTTGGAGACAGGGATGAGTACCACCCCCTAGAGTTGGACACGACTGGACTAAATGTCAAGGAGAACCTTTACCTTTACCTTATGCTGGCATGGGGGTTGAAAACTAGCATCCAGTGACATCTGAAACTGTTAAGTATGTCTCTTTCTGTGCTCCTTTTCCTTTCTAATTACTTCTTCTTCGTCTTCCAGGTACATGTCAATCTACTCCTGTCAGAGGCCCGCATGCAAGCTGCCCTGCTGTACGCCTTGCGGGCCATTACCCGTTATATGACCTGACAGGACAGCGCTCCCCCTCGTCCTGCGACAGGCAGACTGGCTGATGGACAGGGGAGCTTCGATTTCAAATGAATTGTTTCTGGATTGCATTGTGAAGAGAGAGAGAGAGAAAAAACCTTTTGTTACCTCACCCTTACTTGTGGCTTTTTTGTGTGAAATATACATTTGTATTTTGAAAGGAGTCTTGAGCACCTCCTTCCAAGAGATAAAACAAGAGGTGGATTGTTTGTCAGTGGATATGGAGGAGAGACGTGTTCAGCAACATGTGTGGCTTAAAAAAGAGAGACTTTGCTCATGCCTGACGTCCACCATTGATGTTGTAGAACCATCCTTGGTTTGCTATGTGGATTGTTGGCTCTGCCACTGGTGAGTAAAACAGTCAAGGGCTACCAGCTCATGCCTGGATACTTGGGAGACTCCTAATGTACTCACATGCCTTTCTTTAGCCTGGCATGTCCGTGAGAACCAGCAGTGGCAGCATCTTATTTTGCTGTAGCTACCTCCCAGCTACCTCCCCGATCTCCTTCCTCCAAAACTGGTGTTAGTGCAATGGACACCAGTAGGTTTGGCTCCATCGCTTGTGATGAAGGCACCACTGGACCAGCCGAGGTGAAGATGTGAATCGCAACCAAAGAGATTGCTCAACAGTGATGCAACGACTGGCCTTCTTCTCTGACTCCCAAATGTGATGGGACTTTGAATGTTTGAGCAGCTTTTCGGTCTCTCTCTTTTGTGGAAGTTAGGGTGACTTGGCAAGATAATTGTTGGGAGGCATGATTAAATGAATCGAAGACAACCTGCAGACCATGGCGATGGATGAAAAAAACGTTTCTCGTTTCTGAGCTTCACATTTGGAAGGACTGAACCTCAGCTGATTGTATTATTTCACAGACGGACATGAGAAAATGGCAGCTGCTTTAAACCATCCGTAGTAGATAAAGAATTGACATTGCAGGGAACGGTGACCTTCTGAATGTTGTTGGGCTACAATTCCCAACAGCTCTAGCCAGCATAACAAAAGGTGATGAATAATGGGAGTTGTAGTCTCCCAAGATATGAAGGGCCATATGTTCCCTAGAATAAAAGGTTGTGTTTGGTGCAGTTGGACAAATTGCTCTAGAGGGTGCCCATGAATGATGTGCCCTTTGGATTTTTTTTGGACTTCCGATTCCAGAATTCTCCATTCTGGGAGTTCCATTTGACAGTCCCACACCCGCCTGGCTTATCGTCCTATTAAAAAGGGAAACTCTGGACCGCTTCCTTTTTTTAACAGGAAGTTAGTCCACGAAGGCCGTCAGGTGAAACTCACAGAATGGAGAATTCTGGCCGTTGAAGTCCAAACAAGCCAAATGGCACATCCGTAGTTCACTGGTCTTTATTTAGAATGGGTAAGTGCCTAACTTGTTAAAATGGGGTAATGAGATGTCGAGCTATGCCTGCTTTCCCTCTTTTGACCCTATAAATGGACTACAGTTTCCAGACACCCCATCCAGTATGGCCAGGATAGGAGCTCAAACCCAGCCATTTGGAGGTTTGGCCTTGCCTTGGCCTTAGAGCAATGGTGTCCAAACTTGGCCCTCCAGAAGTTCTTCTGACCCTATAAATGGACTACAGTTTCCAGATACCTCATCCAGTATGGCCAGGATGGGAGCTCAAACCCAGCCATTTGGAGGTTCGGCCTTGCCTTGGCCTTAGAACATTGCTATGTGGACATCCTTCTCGGCAATTCCAAGACTGGAGATAAGTTAAACTTCACCACCACATTTGCTGGCCAGGATTTCTGGGAGTTGAAGTCCAAGAACATCTGAAGGGCCAAGGTTGGACACCACTGCCTTAGAGCATTGCTATGTGGACATCCTTCTCGGCAGTTCCAAGACTGGAGATAAGTTAAATAAGGTATTAAGGAAGGTTTAATGCTTCCTCCTGCATTCACAGTTCTGTCTCAAGTTCAGGAGCTTTCCCCACATAATGCTCAGTCCCTCTTCCACGTAGACCCTGAGGTTTTCATTAGAAAGAGGAGTTGTCCTGATTCAAGTTTGCTTTGGTAGATTGGCATGTGTGCGCACGATGCCTTTGCAAGTCCACAGCCTTATCTGCCATAACAGTTTTTATTGTTTGGTTCTGCATGTTTTGGCAAGACAGTGGTAGATCTCTAAGTGTGAGGGGGGAAAACATGGCTTCTTAAAAAAGGTCTAACTGTACTCTTTATCCGTATAGTCTTATTTCCTCTCTACTTCTTTTTCTACTTCAAATAGCAACTGAGTGTCCATCATTTCAAAAAGTTAATTTCTCTAGTACAGTTAGGGAAGCCGTGACGTTCCTGGTGATGAGTCCGGATTCCCATCATCCCTTAGCAGGGTGAAGCTGGCTAGGCTGAGGAGAGTTGGGGTCTCTCAGTTTCTGGATAATCGCAAGTTGTCCAACGTGTTCTTAGATGATGTAGATCTGTGTGAAGTAGTTGCAGACTTCTTGCCCTGTTCATAAACACAGATCTTCTTGAATGTTTATGGGTGGCAGTTAATGCTGTATTTCTGGAGGAGTATTATTATTATTATTGATTGGACTCTGTGTACATATTGGGTCCTTTCTTCTTTTTTAATCTGTGAACTAAAATCTGATTCTTAGATAAGTTCTAAGCATTGAAAGTAAGGAAAACAAGCAAAAAATTTGAAACAAACTTTTATGCCTGATCCTCAGCAACCACCCATAGGAGGAGGATCTGGAAATAGCTTTTTTTTCTCAGCATGGAAACTGGTTTCTCTTCCGAATGTCACACACAAAAAATGAAACTGACAGCCTTTGGCACAAAGCGTAGACTTTCTTTTTGGGGAATGGCAGCGGAATGTAAAATAAATAATTATTTTTGTGTTTTCCTCCGTTTTCTGTTTCCTCAAACTCTCAAGATCGCTAAATTGATTACTTGCTTGATCCTCTCAGTAAATTCCTTGACAATTTCAAAGGTAGACTGGTTTTTGTTTGATTGAAACTGCTGCGTTCTAGAAAGAAGAAACCCCCACAGACAGATTGGGGTTTCTTTGATTATTTGATTTACCTGCTTATAGACAATGTATGATAGCTATGTATTTAAAAGTTATGTACACATACTGTTCAGGGACTGGGAAATTTACTTCTTGGACTATAATTCCTGTAATCTTAAATCATCATGTCCATGGTGGGACATGGATTCTGGAAGCTTTTGTCCAAAAATTAGTATTTCCAAACTCTGAATCTTGCACTGTGAAGATTCTTACATGTGTCCGTAATGGGGTACAATGGACTCTTGCGAATCTAAATGTCTAGGCTGCCACCTAAACATCTTAAGGTGGATTCCTCCCACACAGGTTTTCTTCTTCTTCTTCTTCTTCAAGGGACAGCATCTGAAGTCAATTTGAAAGAGGAGAAGTATCATTTACCTTTTTGCAGAAATTGACCTGACGCCCCTCTCCTGCCTCAGCCAAGCATAATTGCTTATTCTGTTTGCCCATGGCAGTGTTTGCACATGCAGGCAGCAAATGCACTGTGAAATTCAAATTCTAGCTTGCCTCATGATTGTACTGAGCTGAGCTGGCCTCAGCTCTTTTCTTCAGCTGGTTTTGATTCCTTTCCTCCTCCTTCCCCCCGTGGCGTCTTTCCTTTGGCTTTGCAAAACTGCAATGCATTGTCCATTTTCTTCTTCAATAGCATGGAATCCAGACGGCGTATATGAGTTCGCCAAACACTCTTCTGTTCTTTTTTTATTATGTGTCTATTTCTGATGGTTCTTTAGAAGGGAAGACAGTTAAGCTTTCTCCACTTCTCTGTTCTGGTTGGTGCAGTGTGATGAGGGAGGGGAGACAGCAAAGAGAGCAGAATGTTTATCTGTTGCTTTTGCCGCCTACCCTTTCCGATTTATACCAGCCTCTGTGAAATTACCCTTCTTTGCTTGATCTCTTATTGCTTGCTGGCCCTTTTTCTCCAGGACTTTGCTCCCTCCTATGTCCTCACTCCCAGTATTTCCTCCCCTGCAATCCTCTGACATCCCATGGAATAAAGATGGCTAAACCAAGATGGTCCAGCCACCTTGCCTGAATTTTTGCTCCATATAAGTTATTGTTTTTAAAAAACTGTATTTTCTCTTGACTGTACTAATGTTGTGATTTTGCTACCCATTCTTGTTGGTGGGGGGTGGGTTGAAAAATAAAGTTGCCTTTTTGTTTTATAAAGAACTGTTTTGCGCTTTATTCTGGACTATTTATCAGCTACATATCAAACTGTTTTGGTAAAAAGAAGCTAGACGACTGCCACAAGAAAGCACACCTTATAAAATGCAAATCCTAAACAAATCAGGGTTTGTCAAGTTCAGTTTTCTGTTTGAACTGCAGCAACATTTCCCTCGAGCCCTAGACAGAGGAGGAGAGGCAGACAATGTATTGGAGTCAGCCATCAAGTCAGAATTTACTCGTAGCAACCCTGATAGTGTTTTCAATGTAAGTGAGGTATTTAAAGAGTGGTTTTACCATTCTTACATTCCAGTGAGTTTCCATGACCGATCTCCTGAGTCCATTACTCTATCGTGAGGTATTTAAAGAGTGGTTTTACCAGTCTCATCCCAGTGAGTTTCCATGACCGAGCCAGGAAATCAAACTCAGATCTCCTGAGTCCATTACTCTATCCATTACTGGGCATGCCCCTTGAAACAAGGGTGGGCAGTTTCCCACCTAGCCAGCAGAGGTGGTGGTGAAGGCTTCTGGGGGATGCAGTCCAAGAACATCTGGAGGCCCAAGGTTGGGGACCACTGCACTATACCACACTGGGCATGCCCTTTGGCTTAAAGTATGCCTGAAACAAGGGTGGGCAGTTTCCCACCTCTGTGTGCTGTTGGAGTGCAAGTTCAATACTCTCAATTAGCCATGCAGGTTATGAGTTATGCAAGTTAGAGGCCAATATCACCAACAGGGACATGTGTTGTTCCCTGGTTTAGAAGCACAAACCTTAGTGTGGGCTGTATTGGCCGTAGCACAAGGTGTGGGCTGAGTCGTCCATTGTGCATACACTTTAAAATCAATAGACGTTAGACTTGCTTTGCATACATTGGTCATGCAACTAAGCCTCCATTCCTCAGGGTAGGGGCAGGAAGCTCATGACATAGACCATATCATGCGAAGTGGCCTCAGCACTAGGTACTGAACACCAACAGAAGTTCCTTCAAATGCCATGTTGGCATAGTAGACACAGGAAGAATGGTCACTGCCCCATGAAATCCATTATTTAGGAATCTTCTTCCCACCCATCATAAATGGATGCTCACAATTTTTGTACAGTTCATGAACCAGCCAGCATTCACGGATTTTATGGCAAAAGGTTTCTTGGTTGCGGGAGATATTATAAATGTTGTAAGCGCATTTAGGATAACAAATGTTTATCACTGGTGGACAGCAGAGGGAAAGACACAGAAAACGTTCCATACCAGGAGTGAAAATGCAGCTGGCGAGCTGTAGATAACAGCAAAGGCCATGCATTCTTTATGGTACTTGAATCAGCTAATGTTAGTTTGTACTCAGTGTAAGTAATTTCTAGGGAATATCATGTCCTGTATTCCTAAAATAGCTTGTTGCTCTGTTGCTCATGGGCTGTTTCAGGGTTGAGGTTGTCATCCAGTAACTGAGCAGCCATCAGCTCTGGCTGAGGTGCTGAGCCCACTTGCTTTGACTGCACTAACGCTGACGCCTTCCAACATCCCTCAATTGTAGTATTATCTTGTAGCACTGCCAAAACTAGAAGGCACACTCCCAATTATATTAACAGCCTGGAAGTGTTACTTTTCTCTCCAGAATCCTCTAGAATCTAGAGCGCATGGAGAGTCTCTACTTAAAAAGTAGCCCTCATTTGGGTGACATAAAATGCATGTCACCCCAATATAATATTCAGATAAAGGATACAGCTCACAGTATTCATGCCTTGCACATAAACAAGGAAGAAATTTGGCATGTTTATGAGAAAATTTGTGCTTCGCTTTATTTTTCAGTTAAAAAAATTAGCCAAATTAAATGATTTTCAACTTTAGAATGGAAATTGTTTTGAATATCTTGTGTGTTGATATTTTATCTCAACTATTGAGTTGGATTAATTAACTATACTTTCATTGCTCTGAACTAAATGGACAACTGGGATTCTGGTAAGTTGCTACTGCCATGAGGTTCAAAATTTCCCTTATTTTGGACATCCTGTGATGTCACTGAGATGCCAGCCTGTTTCTGTATCCTCAAGGCATACCTGTGAAAGTTAACTTTTGGTTCAAACAATACAGGCTTCCTGCTGGGTTCAAAAGCAGATTGGAAGCTATTAGGAACAAGTATCCTTGTAGGTTACTTTCTGTAAATTAGGATAACAGGACATTTATTGGTGTTTTTCCCCAATCTGGTTATTTGTATTCTCATTTTTTATAACTGGGAAATTAATTATTTTCTATTGCCAACAGTTGGCTTCTTTCTATCATTTGTTTTTATGTGCTTTCATTCACATTTTTTCCCCATAAAACTGGCAAGTCTGGTTTACTGGCTACTAGAGAGAGAAGTTCTTCTGAGTCTAATCTGAGACTCTTGGTCACTCTG